AACAATATGTAATAATCACGAACGTTATCTCCCACCACGCCGGACACCCATATTTTAACATGTATATAAATGTATTTCATTGTCATATTATACTTTAAATCCTTTTTCACGTAATAAAGGAACAGGCATATTGAACGTATATTTAGCCTTAGTCGTTACTTACGGGGTAGAGTAAATGAAGAGTTACTCCCCTTCAATCGTGGGGCTAGCTTCCAAGGAACCCGTATATCGGAAGGTTGGGCTGGGTGCATAAATGGAACCGGAAAAAGGAGGAAAACAACATCACCAGACGCCAACACGGATATCCTGACAAGACCCGCCCTCGGCGATCTTCCCCTCCCATTCCCACATTTAATTAATCGTAGGCGCCGATGCGGACAGGGTGTCGGTAACCTTACAAATGGTGTCAGAAGTGGGATGGAAAGTTTTTTTCTTTGCGTGATACGAACCCAAAGTCTGACCTGTCATAAGTTTAAATTAGCTGTCCGACGTGGTGGAAAGAATTGTTGTATATAGAAACGTGTAAATATGTATATACGTTGGCTGATTTCTATTGGAATACGCTCAATATTCCGAGGGAGTTGTTGGAATGTAATATGAATATTAAACATATGAAAAGTTAAATAATAATATTTAATAATTTTAAATGCTGTTCGCCTACTAGGCCTGCCTTTACTATCACCATTTATTGTCCCAATATTATCGCTAAAATGAGTTTTATAATCTTTTATTAGAGCTATGGCGGAAGCAAATACTCCCTCACCGGACCCCGAAGTTAGTTTTGACCGTAAGGAAAAGCCTCAGAAGAACGATGCGATGGGGCAGGGGGGTATATTCACGGACGAATCGGAAGACGAAGAAGTCGTAGGATCACCTGACGATCAACAAAGGAACGAGGGTCGTCGACGAATGATGCGACGCGATAGAGGAAGAGGCGAAATGGACTTCGAAGAAGCGGATTTCGAGCGTCCAAAACGCCCTCATCAACAAATATGTACCGTAAAACCCGAATCGTTTCACGGTCAGGACAACTGGGAGGAATACGTGTCACACTTTAATGACTGCGCCGAATTGGGATGTTGGTCAGATAGAACTAAGCTTTTATACTTAGCGTCTAGCTTAAGGGGACAAGCGAGGACATTTTATATGAACTTAAGCGCAGCGGAGAAGTGCACGTTCAAGATCCTAATCGGTCGGCTTAGCCAACGATTTGGGAGTTATAAACACCAAAACAGGTGGCTATCAAAATTAGAAATGAGAAAGCGACAACCCGGGGAAAATATTGCCGCACTTGGAGATGATATAAGGCAAATGGCGCAAAGGGCATACTGCGATCTGAATGCAATGGCTCAAGAGGCTTTAGCTTTAAATCAGTTATATAAAATTATACCTATCGATATGAAATGCCGATGTATAGATCGCGATTGTAGAACCGTGCTTGAGGCCGTAGACGTCATCGAAAGATATGAGTCTATGGTTGGGGAGATGGGCGATAGGAAGAAACCCATCGTAAGGGCAATCTCACAAAGTGATGAGACGAGCAGTGTCGTTCGAGGTCAGGATACGCGGAAAAAGGAGGATAAGGCGCAAAATGGTCAGCTCGAGGAAGCTCTAAAACAGATAATGGCGCGTTTGGATCGTCTCGAAACCACTGGGAAATCGTTTTATCAAAGAGATTCCGATACTATGGGTCCAATAACTTGCTACGGCTGCGGTGCGCCTGGCCATATCGTTCGCAATTGCCCGACGTATGATCAAAATTATAGGAACAAACGCGCCCACCATCAGAGAAACTCTGGCTCCTCGGGACACATACAGGGAAACGGGAGACCGTTAACCCGGTAGGCCAAGGGTTAGCGGAGATTAATAGGCCGGAAAGGAGACTGAATACGGGAAATGCAAGGACGGGACACATAGGGGAAACCGATCATACTTGGGATAACGCGTTTTACACGAATGGTCGTATAGTGGACAAAAATATAATATTTCTTATCGACAGTGGATCTACGGCCTCTATATTGTCAAAAACTAGTTACGATAGCCTTACAAACAACAAGTCTACAATGACACCCTGTAATATGAATATACATGATGTAAATGGGAACAGGATTAATGCCTACGGGTTCACCAAATTAAACGTTTATTTCGGAGAGCTATTGTTTGATGTACAATTTATCGTATGCGACATAGAGCAAGACGGGATATTAGGGCAAGATTTCCTCCTCGCCCATGTAAACAAGATAAGCTATAAACGGATGGTCTTGACAGTCGCTGACCATAAGGAGATACGGTGTTGGGTAGGGGGGACGGCAAACATGATTTGTAGATTAGAGGTCAAGGAAACTATTACTATACCCCCGCAATCTGGAGTAATATTACCCGTTGATATACCAGGTGCAAAACATCTTACCGACGAAGGATACGTCGAGGGCGATAATAATCGGAGTGATATCCATGTAGTTTCAGGCGTAATCTCAACCAAGTCCGAGAAACACGTTGTCAATATAATTAACTATGGATACAATCCGATAACTTTTAACCCTCGCCAAACCATCGGAACATGCGAATCTTTTATCGAATGGCAGCACCAAGAGCGAGTCGCGGCTACTAAAATTTCTAGTATGACTAATGGCGACCCCAACGAATTTCCAGAACATCTAGAAGACCTTTTAGCGAGGAGCTCCGAATTCTTGAACGACCAACAGCGTAGTGTCCTTTCCGCACTGCTTCGGAAATATGGACACGTCTTCTCAAAATCCGCGGACGATATCGGTAGGACCAGTAGAGTAACTCACACTATTAACACCGGAAGCGCATTTCCGATACGACAATCTAAGCGGAGATTACCTTTTGGGAAACGGGAAATTGAAAAGGCTGAAATAGAAAAGATGTTAGATAGGGGGGTTATAGAACCATCCAGTAGTGCATGGGCTTCGAATATTGTTCTTGTAACGAAAAAGAATGGACAAGTACGGTTTTGTGTTGACTATCGGAGGCTCAACGAGATCACCGTAAAGGACGCCTACCCATTGCCTAGGGTAGACGACTGTCTTGATTCGCTATCGGGTGCCAAATGGTTTAGCTCTATGGATATGAACCAAGGGTTTTGGCAGATAGGTATGTCGCCCGAAGACAAGGAAAAGACCGCCTTCTCGACAAGCCTAGGACTTTTTCAATTTACGGTTATGCCGTTCGGACTTGTCAATTCACCCTCAAGTTTTGAACGTTTACTTGAGGACGTTTTACGGGGTTTGCAGTGGGTGGAATGTTTATTATATATGGATGATGTGATTTCCCCATGTGCGGACTTTGAACAGGGTATCTCCCGTCTTGAAAATATCTTCAAGCGATTCCAAGAGGCCAATCTGAAATTAAAACCATCGAAATGTGTATTATTTCAAAAAGAAGTTAAGTTTTTAGGACATATTGTTTCAGAAAAGGGAATATCGACCGACCCGGAAAAGACAAACACCGTCAGTACTTGGCCATTACCTAAGTCTGCTAAGCAGGTGCGCAGCTTTTTAGGACTTTGTTCGTATTACCGACGATTCGTCAAAGGATTTGCACATAAAGCTAGACCACTACATAGGATATGCGAAAAAGGAGTCATTTTCAATTGGACGGATGAATGCCAATTAACATTTGACGACTTGAAACTTGCACTCACAAGTACACCGGTCTTGGGATACCCAAGACCCGGGGAACCATACATCATTGATTCGGATGCAAGTGACCGCGCTGTCGGGGCTGTCCTCTCGCAAATGGAAAACGGGGCGGAACGAGTGATTGCGTACATGAGCAAATCGATGAACAAGCACGAACAACTCTACTGCGTGACACGGAAGGAACTCTTGGCCGTTATACTTGCTCTAAAAACGTTTCATTCCTATGTGTATGGACAGGAGGTAACCCTGCGAACTGACAACGCAGCAGTCAGTTGGATGAGAAATTTGAAAAGACCAACAGGGCAGACCGCACGGTGGCTCCAAGAGATGGGTACTTATAACATCACGGTCGTGCATAGAGCCGGTAGGATACATACTAACGCAGACGCACTATCGCGGAAACCGTGTGGAGCGTGCGAACGGCAACAGAAAAACGGCCACTCGGGCGGTAGCGAGGAAGATGACTCAAGTTGCGAACCCGACGGGGAAGACGAACCCTCTATTGTGAGCTTGCGAGCAGCTCAGCTACGTTCAGGGCAACCAGGAGTCCAGGGCGAGCTAGTATTAGACGGTTGGTCGCCCGATCAAATAAGAGAGGCTCAGATTTCTGACCCAGACTTGGGAATAATATTACGGGAGATCGAGAATGGTAATTCCAGGCCCCACTGGGATCAAATTTCGCTTGGGACTAAAACTTTGAAAATTTTATGGAATCAATGGAATAGATTTTTAATCAATAAAGGGATGTTATATAGGTCGTCATATGAGGAGACATCAAGCTCGCTTCAGTTACTTGTCCCTAAATCGCACGTAGAGGAATTAATAAAATACTATCATAGCCTACCTACCGCGGGACACTTAGGCCCTGAGAAAACTTTAGGAAGAATAAGGGAATCATTTTACTGGCCGACAATAGGGGAGTCGGTACGGTCGTATTGCAAAAGTTGCGACGTTTGTGCGGCACGGAAACCGCCGAGCCGCCCTTCAAAGGCACCCCTGGGGCAATATTTAGTAGGAGAACCGATGGAGAGGATCGCGATGGATATACTTGGGCCGCTACCTATCACAGAAAATCGCAATAGATTTATTCTAGTATTATGCGACTGTTTCACAAAGTGGACAGAAGCTTACGCTATTCCTAACCAAGAGAGTAAAACCATCGTTAAAGTAGTCGTCAACGAATTTATATGTCGTTTTGGAACGCCATTACAAATTCATACCGATCAGGGGAGTTGTTTCGAGTCTAAACTCTTTAAAGAAATGTGCGATCTATTTCGGATTGATAAGACTAGAACTAGTAGTCAACATCCGCAAGCTAACGGAACCGTGGAAAGATTTAACAGGACACTAGCCACCATGTTAACCGCTTTCTGCGAGAATGAACAAAGGAGGTGGGTCGAATATTTACCTCAAGTTATGATGGCTTATAGATCATCCATGCACTCGAGCACGGGTCAGACTCCGAATATAATGACTTTAGGACGGAATATTGTAATGCCCATTCAAGCCCTTATACCTAGGCCTCGCGACGACGCACAAGCCGTCGAAGAATACGTGGAGAATTTACAGTATACATTATCAAATGCTCATGCCTTAGCTCGAATAAAACTTAAACGAAATTCAGATTATCAAAAGCGTCACTACGATCTCAAGGCTATTAAGAGGTCATTTAAAGAAGGACAACCCGTTTGGTTATACGACGCATCCAGGAAAGTAGGAGTTTGTAATAAACTGACCTCTAAATGGAAGGGTCCTTATGTGATTGTACGTAAAATCGACGACCTCACCTATCTCGAGAAACGATCAAAGAAACAAATGGCTAAGGCTTACCACATAGACCGGTTACTGCTATACAAGGGACGAAACCCACCCTCTTGGTTTAAAGAATCGGAACATTTAGGAGACAGGAATTCAGGGATAGTCTGCGGGATATAGAACGATTATCCTTTGGGGTCTTAGGAGAATAATAATAGGGAAATAATCGGCAGGGAGATATTACGGACACGTGCATAGCTCTATGAAAAGGGGTTATATGGAACGGTAGGCGAGAACGGAGGAATCTGTCGTCTTAGCTCTAGATATTGGAATAGACGATTTCGTGATATTTCTTAGGAACCTAAATGGACGCATTAAGGCTCGCGAACGATTTCGTTTATCCCTAAAAGGAGACGGGTACTCGACGGTTCGACTCGTATCTGTAGACATAGAGTGAACTGGGTTGTACGTGGTCCCGGGGCCCTGGCCGATCAAATGGTGGTTGAATCCTTGGAGGAGCCTAAATTATTAACCAGACAAGGATAATCGAGCTGTCGCCAGCAACTGGACGGACGCAAGTCTCATTGGAATCGGGGGTTGGGGGGTGGCGATAATATAAGTTTGTAGATAATAGGTTAGGAACAAATGGTAGTAGTAATCGGAGTGGATGAGTAGTGGTGATATAAAGGACGGTCAAAGGCACAATGCTGGGGATGGGGTGGTTATATAATGGTTTCCGGAGGGATACGATTTTTGGGTGGATATTAACACAGCTTATTTCCTTTCAGGATGAGACCTCCATCAGCTGTCGAAGTAAAATGCCACATATGTCCGGAAACGTTCAGGAACATCAGGCTGCTAAAAAATCATCTGGCCGCCAAGCCACACCAGCGACTTAGTTTGATTTGTGTTTGGTGCAGGGAGGAGGCAAAGTTTAGAAAGATGGTAGATTTAAAAAACCATGCAAAGACCCACCACCGGAGCAAACTGGAGTTAATGCCAACTGATTTTTTCTCCGAAAACAACGGATTTTGGATGGCCATCTACCCAGAGGACTATCGGAGGGTGATAGCCCCCTCGGGCGAGAACACCCAACAAGCCATCAAGGCCCGGATGGAGGTGCTTTCCTTTTTGGAAAAAGTAAAGAACACCGCACGGACGAGACAGGAGTGGGTCCAGGGATGGAGGAGTCCAACAACAGCACCACCACCGACAAAGTCTGCTAACAAAAGCTGGGAAGCAGAGGACCTCAGGATGACGATGGGTGGTTCGGAGGCAACACTTTCCGCCGGGAAGAAATATCTGAAAGTCGAGCTTAAAGACTCTATCTTCCGCGACCCCAAAGCTGTTGAGGCGCTCGCCAGACGAATGGCTTCTTTGCAGGGAAGACGATGGGCAGTGGGGGAAACACAATCTCGTGTTTTCCACACTGTTGGACATGAAGACAAGGATTCCTGGAAGGACACCGCTGCACAAGCCCTCGGAATCCAGATTTCCCACCTTGGCGAAATTAATTTGTCTGGGGAGCTCTTTGACCTAATAAGACCTATGACGCCTCTACCCACACCGTCTACATCGGAAATAACTCTGGATCTAGAAGAGGATATTACATTAGATTTTGAAGAAGAGATGATGGAGATCAGGAAGAGGAAGACAGAAGAGGAAGGACAGGAAGAAATTATTGAGAAGAAACGGGTGAAGACAGGTGATGATAACGAGGAGGGCGGATTAGAGGAGGAAAAGAAACGGAGAGACGAGGAGAGATCAGAGAAGGAGAGGGAGGAGCAGATAGTAAAAGAGGGGATTGAGAAGGAAAGACTAAAGAAGGAGAGGGAGGAGGAGATGGTTAAGGAGAAGGTCGAGAAGAAGAGGTTAGAGAAGGAAAGGTTAGGGAAGGAGAATGAGCGGGAGAAGCAGATACTAAGGGAGAGGGAAGAGAAGATAGTAAAAGAGAGGGTCGAGATGGAGGGGAGACAGAATGAGGAGAAGGAGAAGGAGCGGGAGGAGCAGATACTAAGGGAGAAGGAAGAGAGGGAAGTAAAAGAGAAGGTCGAGATGGAGAGGAGACAAAATGAGGAGAAGTTACAGAAGGAGAAGGAGCGAGAGGAGCAGATACTAAGGGAGAAGGAAGAGAAGATAGTAAAAGAGAGGGTCGAGATGGAGAGGAGACAAAATGAGGAGAAGTTACAGAAGGAGAAGGAGCGAGAGGAGCAGATACTAAGGGAGAAGGAGGAGCAGATAGTAAAAGAGAGGGTCGAGAAGGAGAGGAGACTCGAAGAGGAGGAGAGGTTACAGGAGGAGAGGAAACAGAGAGTCGAGGACAGGTTACAGAAGGGTAGGGAGGAGAAGGAGAGATTGGAGAAAGAGAGGAAACAGAAAACCGAGGAGAGATTGGAGAAAGAGAGGAATGAGAGATTGGAAGAGGAAAGGAGGCAGAAAGACGAGGAGAGATTAGAGAAGGAGAAAAAGAAGCAGGAGAGATCGGAGGAGGAGGGACCGGCGAAAGGAAGTACACCAACACTATGTGAGAGGGCACGACATCTGCTGCGCCGAGGAGGAATGCCCTTATTTCCGGCAGGGCGAAGGGAATGGACCGGGGAAGAGCTCGTTGAACTTGTAAACACTCCAACTAAGTATATGTGGCCACCACGGGGCTGGAGAACGATGAGTGGCCAAGAAAAGCTACGCCAGTTTGAACATGCTACCACCATATTAGAATTTTGTGCTGGAGTGACCACACCAAAGCCGAAGACAGACCTACTCGTGCTCTATAGCTATTTGGTCCTTCCCGGAACAGCTGATACCACCAAAAATAATAAGGCAGCATATGTGAAGGGTCAGTATCGATTTTATTTATATACAGCCCTTAGGAGAATTGCAGAGGAAAAAGACGCATCTCTACAGGACGAGGAATTGATCCAGATGTTGGAAGAGGCGGTGCGAGGGAAAAGAGTCGAAGACGTCCTATCAAGAATAGACGAGATGGGGATACCTCTAAGACTCGCCGTCGACCATGTTTAAATGTTTTCACAAATTTATTAATAATTTTGCATGTTAAATAATTCGGGAGAATTAAGAAATTAAGGTGGGGGGAGTGTAATATATCGAATTCAGCCCTGTACATATTATCATTTTATTGCATTACTTGATTGTTATATTGTTGTTTAAGTCTTAGATTGTTCGTTAAATTATCAGCATGCGGCGGGTATTTTGGTACGGACATATTATTATTATAACGTGATTACCGTCAGTCGTGAAATCAAGGCCTCGTGTAAACAAACCATTTCAAGTAATATTTTGTATAAAACGAACAAGTTTTACTTACTTGTTAGCCTCCCGAATAATCTTCTCGGTATTTTTGCACTTATTGTCAATTATAACATTGCATAGTCCTTTTCCCGAACGTTCAATTTTGCATTGGAATAGTCCTTAGTTACGAATACGAGCACATTTATATATTTCAATACGTAGACGTCCATTTTGTGTCACGTCGTTCTTAACAACGACCTGTCAGATTGTTACATATAATGTTTCTATTAGTCTTCTGGTTATGCTTATTGTACATCATTGCCAAGTATAGTAATTTATCTTGGTTGTTATAATAATTGTATCGGGTTTTAATATGTTTTATGGCCAGGATTGACGTAGTTCAACTGGATTATGTTGTTACCCATTGTCTGTTTATAATCAATCTCTTCGCTGTACGTATTAAATAATTCCTTGTCAAATTTAAGTGAAACGGACAAGTACCGGACAAGTTGGATTCGTTATTTTAATAGACTATTTTAACGTCGAACACTTCAATTGTCAAAGAAGTGCCGACAACAACAAAAAGGACAATAATTGATTGGTTAATGACGTCACGTGATACTTTAATTTTTCTATATAAAGGGTGATCGAACGTCGGAAGGGCAGATAACGGTTCGTCGTATCCACGGCAAACTACCTTTTTCATAAAGTGATCAAAAGCGGAAAAATCTTTCTTGTCGCAATTACCCGACCAATTACCTAAATAATAAGGTGAGAATCATGCCCGCGGGGGAACTTGGATCTGTAATGTTTCGAATATAAGAGTATTGCTACTATTACCTTCGTTTGTAGTAGCCTAAATATGCCGCCATTAATATTGTCGCCGGGTTAACAATATGTAATAATCACGAACGTTATCTCCCACCACGCCGGACACCCATATTTTAACATGTATATAAATGTATTTCATTGTCATATTATACTTTAAATCCTTTTTCACGTAATAAAGGAACAGGCATATTGAACGTATATTTAGCCTTAGTCGTTACTTACGGGGTAGAGTAAATGAAGAGTTACTCCCCTTCAATCGTGGGGCTAGCTTCCAAGGAACCCGTATATCGGAAGGTTGGGCTGGGTGCATAAATGGAACCGGAAAAAGGAGGAAAACAACATCACCAGACACCAACACGGATATCCTGACAAGACCCACATTTAATTAATCGTAGGCGCCGATGCGGACAGGGTGTCGGTAACCTTACAGTATTTAGAATGCGGATAAATTGGAATAAATTATTAAAATGAAATAAAATGAAATGGAATAGGGTTTAACGTCTTATTGTTTTGCTCCGAACTGGGCTAATTAAGACGGGCATACGCCATGCACTGTGCTATGAGGGAAATTTTACCCGGAGAGTGGCATTACGGCCTACTCTTATATCGAATTCCAACAGTGCACGCCAATGTGTACACGGGATCTCGGTTTTTCGTCCCATCCCAACGACTAGACAGTTGCTCTTGTCTTACCCACTTAACCACCGTGATTCCCAAGTATTATAAAGAGTGTCTTTATGCGATTCCTCCTCACATGGAGGCAATCCATATCGTTGGGTATCTGATGATTATACATTGTAGCACAAATCAAAAATGTACTTGATTCTGATTGGTTAAACATGCATCATATATGGGAATGGTAGACAATACTTCTCCTCTGATTTTGAGGTGATTCGTGGCGAATTTAATTCCGTGGCGTCGATGTTAGCCTCCAAAGAGGACACTTCAGAACTTTTTATATGAAAATATAGGGAAATCTTCATATATGATATTCATATCAAAAAACATTTTTATTAGGAATACATTGGACAGTACAACTATACTACGACGAAACCGAACGTATTAATAATCATAGCAGAATCAAACCATGGCCATCAAACCGAACGTATCAATAATCTACAAGTCTGTCAGAGTAAGTAGTAAAAGATAGCAGTATCAAAACATGGCCATTACAACTATAATATTACGAGTAATCCTAATAGTAAGTGCAGGGGGACTGCACCACACAAAATTTGTACAAAAACAAATACACGGATAGGACATCGTACTCAGGAAAACACAAACATAAAGACAATTCAAAAAAAGTGAATGTATCCGGGGGCTAGCCGTAAGCGTCCACTCCGCTGTACAGTCCCGGGTCTGTAGTGACACAGACTTCACTCAAATTTGAATACAACCCAAAGAACCCATTGTGTAATGCCAGCATGAGTCATGATCTGCTATATGCTACACGAAATACGAATGTAAGCATATGTAGTAAAATTCAATCAAGAAACGCTTCAGTATTCAATACATATAGGGTACATGTTCCATCGTCACAAAAACAAAACTGAATACAAAGAAGCAAATAGGAAATGTCGAGGGACAGCCGTCTGCTGACTGAGAATGACGTCATATCTTAGATGGTGATAAAAAATCACAATAATAAGGGCGATAATCCAAATAAAATAACGTTAAAAGCTTAAAAACCATAAGTCTTAGCGACTAATCGGAATTATTAAGTTATGTAATTGTACAATATATAATATATTAATATAATACCCCACACAACCAACACTGAAATCTGTGAATGTTAGGATTCGCGGTGTTAGGTTACAGATCTAGACTATGTGGAGGCGATATTTCCCCATGTAAACTATTGATTTTTGTTCGCTCGTTTGAATAAAATATATTTATTCCGCCGCGTCTCCATATTGACACAAACGGGTTTTGGGAAATTGATATTGTATAAAGTGTGTACCAATAGAGGTCATGTTGTCTATCCGGTTTTAAAAAGCAACAGTTCCTTAACTCAGGCGCAAATAAGCATGATTGTGACGATCGCTTTAATAACTATAGGATCTAATCAGATACTTACCGGTCTGGTCGGTGCTGGGCTGACTGGTGAAAGAAGCAGAAAATCCCTGTTCCCCATAAGTGTGATCAGATGAAAATACAACCGTCATAAGGTTTGAGTCGCTCCTAAAAGGAGTCGGCAACTCTGTTCCGCACATAAGATCTCCACCATCTGTCCTTACATAATCATATGCACACTCAGTTTCATATTCAATCTACAAGAAACCCAATTAATCTGAATAGTTTAACATGTAGATTTAAATGAATGAATGACATGGTGTTTAACGTCCTACTTTTCGGCATTGACCGGGCTAATGTAAAGGACATAGCATGTACATCTACAGTGTGCTGTTGTAGTAATACCGGACTTCTTTGTTGTGTTTGCTTTCGTGATCGTAAATATAACTACAGGTTAGGTCGTTTATACAACTTTATTATTAAAACCGCTTGGCATCAATGTTCCTCGTTCTCAATAAAGTGTAAAAGATGGCTGCACAACACCCTCATGTATTAACCGCTAATTTCATTACGTCATAGACTGAACTTGGCGTTAATTTCCTTCGCAAATATGGAATGAATATCCCCATACCCCAACGACCGACAGGAGAATATTACCTTATTTGGTCTACCAAACACATGCCATAAACTGATAGTATTTGATGAATATTTCGACAATGGGAAGGACAAAACCGGTGTTTTTACCAAATTATCACTGTTTTTATATACAAACACATCAGTTAATTTCATTTGAGTGCGTGGGATATGACTATATACAAAGTGTAAACCTAATAATTAGTTAAAGATACGGTATGGACGCAAAGACCATAGTACTACACTGTGTGAGGGATATTTAAAATTGTAATTGTCAATGGTTCTTTTACATACACACAACGTGTACATGAGACCTCGTACTT